CAGACAGTTTAGAAGTGCAGTAAGCAAGATTGAGGTCATATCATGAGGAGGGAAAAGAAAAAACCATGTGGAAAGGGATGCTGTGACAATGCAAACTGACGGAAAACAGTGAAGACCTGAGAAAGGGTGGATAGAGGAAAATATCAGAGAAAAAAAAGTGAAAGAATAATGGATGAAAGATCAAACACGTAGACGAGAAGTATCATCAAAAGCAACGATCCTGCATAAAAATTTGATAAGGGAAGAAGTTGAAACAGAAAAGGTAGCAATAAATTTTATTCTTTCAATTTAGTCTACTTTTAAACGTGAGAGATTTGCCAAAAAGAGCGCCTCCCAGAAGACTTTATGGGAAACTGAACCCCATTTAGGTGTTACAAAAAGGAAGAAAACCCGAAACTCAGTGGCCAGTCCGTTTGCCAGGTGGAGTTTTAGTGTTTAGTGATGTTATCCACTCGGTCACTGATAAAGTCTTATTCTTTCAGTCTTATAAAAAAAGCAATGTATTAATTTTAAATATAAAAGTATCGTATTACTTTATATTTTTCTATTATATTTATGATTGGCATGTAATTAAATTAAAATTCAGTCAACTACATATTTTTACATCAACTTATATAAATCTTTTTTTGGAAATTTATCTGAATATAAATAATTATAATATCAATTTCTAATTTAAAAAAATTTTTAATATGTAAAATACAAAATATTTTTAAAAAGTGTAAAAAAATAGTAGTACATAAAATGATACTTAGAAAAAAATAATCATAAAAGAATAATTCTTTCATAAATGTCGAATATGCAGACCAGATGAAAGGATTGAGTGAGTTCCTTCTAAAAGGATATAGGGATAGAGACAGGTCTAAGAGATAAACTGCCAATGAGGGATGCCTCCCGAGAGAAGTTTATGGGAAAATGCCCTCTTTTCAGATGTAACAAACGTCATGAAACCCTGGAAAACACGGACAACCCGGTGACGAGGCGCAAATCAGCGTCCAAGAAGATGCATATCTTATTAAATAACAGAAAAGACAGGTCAATATTTTTCTTTTAAAACGTATACAATGAAAATGAAAGGGCTCCATCCCTCATCACCTGGTCGCCCCATTGTGGGCTTGGTCGAACCCATAATGGGCTTGCTAAAAAAAGAGTCCTATTAGTGTCCACAGGGCGTAAAAATGAAAAAGAAATGAAAATCATAAGCCTGAAAATTACAGAAAAGATTTCAAAATTGTCACAGATTTAAAAAATAAAAGATAAAAAGGCGACTGGCTTATTAAATTTTCAAAAAAATTTTTCATGTTTAAAACCATTCCATAATATTCAAATTCCTGTATTTGCAAATACATGTATGTATTTCGATAATTTTCAAAATTAACAAGAAATCAGTTTAACAGAAATTTTAAATGAGCCTGTGAAATAAAAAGATATTTTACATGGACATGCAAAAAAACTTTTTATAGAAGAATCTCAACATTATAATTGAATAACTTTTTTATTTAGTAAATTTAAAATTTATTGTGAAGTATTTTATTATTAAAATTGTTTATACGAAGAGGAAACGTAATGATTCTCCCGAATTGATTCATTATGAAGTGCCACCAGTGGCCGAGTGAAACCACTGAACACTCATAGTTCGGGGTTCTCGCCTCGCTAATGTGCTGGCAACGTTGAGTTTTCCAGGTTTTCTTCACATTTGTAACACCCAAACAGGGAAGAAAGTCTTCACAGGATGCATCCCCCCACGGCAGATCGCCCACGTTTCGCATTATCCATACAAACATAAAGTACAATTGGCATTCATCGCAGAAAATGTCAAGCTATATGAAGAAGAAAAAAAAAACTTACGTAATAAAACAATGATATATCTTACTTTTAAAATTTGAAGTAAAATAAAATATTCTGAATGTTTCACAGAAGATGATATTTTTGAGATAAATTAGTTAATAAAAATAAGAATTAAAATCATCCATTAAAAACAGTAAATATGGCGATTATAGTGTATTATAAAATAAATACAACGATGTAAATTTTTATTATACAGACGTTGAAAGCAGAAAATACGACGATGATCAACAGGAAAATGATAAGATAAATTCTTATTTTGAGGTAAAAATAGACAATTCGATATAGTAGAAAGACCAGGAGGTGAATCAGAATGATATTTAAAAATCCAAACAAAGTTTAACGTTTATTTTAAACAATTATTACAAAAACAAAAATAAAAAATTTGGTAAAATAATATTGTCATTTACATTCAAAAAGTTCCTCATTAAATTTTGTCTATTCATAGAATTCTCAGACGATATATCAGTTTGAGAATTCCGTTTAGAGATAAAGAATTCCTAAAACTTGAATGTAAAGAATGACGTAAACAGGCATTATAATGCCAAATTTTAGGAATTTCTTATTTTTGATCTATTTGATTCAACAACATTAAAGATAACAGTCAATTATAATACATCCTTACATAATATGGTAAATAACAATCATAAAAAATATTTATGAGAAACTCTATTATTACAGATTATTTTAAAAAGTTTTAAATAATAAATTAATTCTCTTGACGTAAATGTGAAAATAATTAATTTTTTCGCATGTCTATGTGAAAAAATATTTTATAAAATATATTGACATTAAAATTAATATTAAGCCATTTTAAATAGGTATTTCTTACATTACAATTAACGTTAAAAGAGTTTTATTTATTCTAATTTGCCTAATTTAAACTTTAAAACTTTAAAGAAATAATTAAATCGTATTGACAGGATGATTCATAATGAATAAACAGGATTTTGGGTGCTTATTCTATGGTATATTTAGAGGGGGAAAAATCCATATGAACATGGGGGAGTTTTATATTCAACAGTATTTGGATTTAAATGTAAATATTCAGAACGAGTTGCATAGCTTTCTTACAAGTTAGACATAAAAACACTTATGTCTAAGAAACACTAAGACATATTAACACAAAGTTAAAAAAAATTCATAACTTGGAAGCTTTTTGATATACGGTCCCTATCCTCTTAATATCTCCCAAACCAATGGTCCGATTTTCCCGAAAATTTTAGAAACAATATCCCCTAATACGCAAACCTCCATGCAAAATTTCAGAAATTTTTGACATAAGGAACAAGCACTATTAAGCTTTAAAGTGGGTAAAAAACCATGCCGCTCACGTTCATACACACACTAACATCCATACATACAGAAAAAACCCAACTTTTCTTGTCTTTCTCGACATTTCAAGGTCCCTGAGTCCAAAAATATAAAATGTTGAGGGGAAATCGTTTCTTAACGGATTGCCATTGGCCTACTTTCTCTCTGTTATATAACAGAACGTAGACCATCCTTAATAGAGGTATGGTATCTAATTGTTAATTAAAACATTTTGAAAAGAGCCCATTTCATTCGTTGATAGTTTATTACTTTTTAAATGCACCTGTGGTGTATAGTACGTTATGAATACTAGCTGACGTCACATCTCCCTCCTTCCCACTACACACGCAGTACGCATCCAAGTTGCATCGAGGATGGGGAGGACGTTTTGAACAGTTTCTATGAAACATGTTTTGAAAAATATGTTGCTTTTCACTTCTTATTTGTTGTATTTACTGTTTTCAAAACATGTACTGTTTAATTTCTTCAAATACAGACAATAGGAGTTCATTACCCTTGTTCATGAGATAAACAAGAAGATCCAATTTATTATTTTATACATTTAATAATGTTTTAAAGTTGGGATAAAAATTAAAATAGATTTAGCTAATTCTTTTTTATTAAAGTAAAACCTGTCCAAAACGGAATCTGAATAAAACAGAAAACATTATTTGGAACGGAGCGGTTTTGTGAGTTAAAAAAAAACCTGTTCGAAACGGAAATCTGCCAAACAGGAAAAGATATTCGTACCGCATGATTCCGGTTTACAAAGGTTTTACTGTATAAAAATATATTTATCTGTTAATATTTGGAGTCGATTAATTAACTAAACAGTAAAATCTGTGTAAACGGGAATCGCATTGTACCGAATATTTTTCCGGTTTGGCAGGTTTCCATTTTGAACAGGTTTTTTTTTTTTTAACATATAAAATCGCTCTGATCCGAAGAAATTTTTCCGTTTTATTCAGGTTCCGTCTTGGATAGGTTTTTTACTGTATCTATTATTTATAGTAATTAATATTTAATATAATTTTCTGAACTTTATTTAAAGAAAATTGCTTATTTAACGTTTTAAAGAGATGGAGTAAAACTCGTGTAAACCGGAATCGCAAGTGCCGAAGATTATCCGTTCAGGCACATTTCCGTTTTACTCATGTTCCGTTCTAGACGGGCTTTACTGTATTTTCAATATAAATGACACAAAACCACTTGCGTTTTTAGTTAATTAGATTAGATTATTTTATAAATAACAATTTTAACTTATTTATTTTTTAAATGTATTTTTTATTATTTAAAAATCACGTGACTTTCGGTCCAGACTTTCGGTTCGTACAGCCTGCAATTAATCGGAGTCTCCAACCCTAAACTTTCCACATCCGATCTCGATTTTCATCTATCCAACTCCATTCTCGAGATTAACGAAGGACTGACGGACGGACGACATTGGTAATGTCTATGTCTACAATTAAAAGAAAAATTCTCCTGAAAAAAATATGTATTAATTATATAATTTATAACCAAATAAAATTAAATTTACTTTAAAAATATTCCTTAAAATAAATATATTATAAACGTTAAAAAAATCTCAATTAAAACTAAATTTTCTCCCATTATAACTTAAACTAAACACACGAATACAATTAATTAAATTATAAATCAATAGAGCAAAAACCCGTTTAAAACGAAAATCTGCCAAAGCGGTAAAAACATATTCGGTACAGAGCGAGTCCGGTTTACACAGGTTTTATCGCATTTCGTAAACATTTAAACTACTTCCTAATGGCTACACTAGATGGCAGTAATGGGGGTATCCCGCGTGACGTCACAGCCAGCAAGGTTTTGAAATGAAAGCGAATATCGGCGTCTCTCCAGCACTCCTACATTTGGATCTTTCCGTTCATCTTGTAGTGTCTTAAGAATATTCAACAGACTGATCCCCTTTGGCTTTCATTAGAAAATTTTTCCACCCTCCAGTTTCATTATTTAATAAACAAGTAAGTCGTACGCCTTTTAAATTTCTCCTATTGTTTTTATATTCTGTTTATGGATAAATGAGACAAAGACTTCGATGAAGAGAAGACTCCATGCATCCTAATCCCAATGGTTTCGTGGTATCACTTAGTTAAAAATATAAATATAACGCTTATAAATATTTATCCATATATAAAATTATTATATGATAATTTTTTTATTTGTAAATTTATTTAGAATATTTTAATGTAGTATATATAATATACGAGCTGTAAACTGAATTTATATTATACTTAAAATAATTAAAGGGGTTTTAAATTATAATTATTTAGACTTTTTTTTCTAATTATTTTCTTGGAGAATCGAATATTTTTCTTCGGTTGTTAGTATTATATTTTAATAGATTTTCGACGATTTCGTACTTGAAAAGCGCTAGTGTGCGCTTTTTTTCCGTCATTCAGATATGTGGAGAATGCTTTTTTCTGTCCCATTTCACTCCCTCTTTCACAGCTTTGTCAATTTTCTTCCCCGGATTACGTATACTACCGATTATTCAAAAGAAAAAAGTGATATTTATAACCATTGGTGATCCTCAGAGCAGAGGAATTTGCATAAATCCCTCAAGAATCATACCGCGCGAATTTCTTTCAAAATTAATTTTAAAAATACGCGAGAATAATTGATGGAAACTAATTTATATCATGGTTAAGATTTGGAAATATTGGCATTTTTTCTGGGAAATAAAAAAAGCGCGTGTAGTTTTCCCTGCGAACAATAGTCTTCTAATACAATATTTTTCCTCGTTATCATTTTGTAGCCCGCTTTCTTCCCCGCTGACAGTTATAATTACGGTATTAGAAGCCATTCACCAGAATTTCTTCAATGCGATTGGTTGTCTCATATTTGGTCCACTTGCCCCGTAGGCATCGATGAGTCACCACCAACGTAGGGGGAACAACACCAGACTGGTTCTGGGGAGAACGTCCGAATGGAAATGGATTTTTTTTCTTCTTCTCTTCCCCTCTTTTTAAAATCACTAAAACTGATTTACACCTTTATTATCCCATACTTTCATGGATTTAGTATCCGCCATTGACTACTAAATGCATAACTTACCTTATGGTTAATTGCCATTAAGCATGAAAGTCATACTTTGTCGATTTTTTTTCATGTGGAAGAGAGGCGAGTTTTGTTACAAAATTATTGATTTTTACGTTGTTTAATTAAGCGTTTTTGTTATTTTTTTAATTAAATGTTTAATTGTAATTAGAGTTTAAGGTTATTTTTAATATTTGAGAGTTTTAGATGATGTAGAAAGATGTTGTCCATTTTCACCAGGCAGTAATGCGTTATGTCTCGCGAATTCAATAGAATTTTTTCAAAATAAATTTTATATTATAAGTAATTAATATATAAATAATGGAAATGATTATTTTGGAATCGATTCTTTCACATTTTAAATTAAATATTTTGTAACTTGTGGCTTGAGGGTGAGGAGGAACCATTCACAAATATGGCTTTAGTTCTCGAAAACATTATAAAAATACACACATAAAATCAGAATCGTCATCATTTATCAAAAGAAATAATAATTTATATATTATTTTGGCATTTTTAAAGGTAATTTTAAAGGCCCATTTTTGTCCGCGGCCCGAATCAAATGGCTCTAAAATTATAAAAATCCCATTTAAAAATTAAAAAAAAAATAAATAAATAAAATAAAATAAATTCTGTAAAAGAAATGAGAATCTGCTCTTCGATAAATTTAATATTGAGAATATAAAGGGTAGCCTCAAAAGCAGTAGGTTTCTGGAGGGCCTAATGATTTTGGAGCCCCTCTTGCAGTAGCCAGGAGCCCTCTTACTTTCGTAAATAAATAAATTAAGAAAAAATTAATAATAAGTAGAGTAAAATTTGAATACATACAGTAAAGCCTATCCAAAACAGAACCTGAATAAAACGGAAAAATTCGGGACGGAGCGATTTTGTGCGTTAAAAAACCTGCTTAAAACGGAAACTTGCTAAACTGGAAAAGACTCAGTACTGCGCGATTCCGGCTTGCACAGGTTTTACTGTATATACAAAATATATCTAAGAATTCATTTTTTATTCACAGCTCTAGAGACTCATCCACAGTTGTACAGGGGTAAAAAAAAAGGTTTGCACGTTCTAATTAGGACCCCCTAATATCGTTTTTAGTTACGATACAGCCCAAAAGTCGCGTAACCATGTTTTTTGCCGGCAATTCAGTAATGCGCGAGTGTGCTAAAGGAGCGCAATTTGTTTTTTTTTCAGTGTTTGTAAAGTAATAAAGTATATAAACGAGGGCAAGTTAAAGTGTGCAATAGTTAACTGACTTTTGGCCTATGTATATAGGTTGGCCCAAAAGTTATTTAACTGCTAAATAACGAAATTCTTTTGACAGATATAATAATAATAATTAAAACATAAGATAATTATCATTACGAAATAGTAAAATATGATTACTTGTTTAAATTAATCTGCATATTTTTCGGTTGATAAAGTTTACCTTTTCATCTTTTATTCTTTCAGAAATTTAATGTTATCTTGCTGAATATTTCGAATAAAATTAAAATTCGTAAATAATAATAAATTTTTACTGTATTTTTTTAAATCCCTCCCCTTTTAATCTCTAATTAATAGTATAATATATAATAGTTAATTATAATTAGTATTCTTTATTATGAATTCCATACGCTATACACGATACATTATTCATTATTATTCTTAAATATCACGATGATAAACAGCATTTTATTGAATAGACAGCATTGTATTACTTAAAATACACCGTAGACTCGATATAACGCGTGTCAATGCAATGCAAACTCGTTTATAAGGCTGGTTCCTATGCTGTATACAGCATAGCCTAGCAATTTTTAATGCTTTACGGTAGGTGTCTTTTTGACTACCCCGTATAGACTCGATATAGTGTGAAAAGGAACGAATTTCTGGCACTATCGTCCACGTTGTACCGGGGTGTATAGTGTAGCCATGCAGAATGTAGTTATTTGATAGAGCTTCTAATATAAGTGTAGTGTTTTGTAATGAGTAAGCTCTCAAATTTAATACTTATTTAATCTCTTATCCTTTGATTTAAAGAAAAAAAAAGGAAATAAAGAAAAATCTAAGATTTCCTGTAGGAAAATATAATTTCGAAGATATTTTTAAAATAAATATTCAAAGATTCCTCCACTTCTTCAAAATAAGACAACGTTATATACGGATCGTGGTCTTTCCAAAAATTTTTAATTTATAAATTCAGAGTTATTAATTATTCAATAAGCTATTTTGGACCGTTTTCATCTTAAAAGATTACGTGTTATTCATTATTTATTTATATAAAAACAGAAAGTTTCGAGACAGTATCGATGAATTCGTTTCTAAAAATAGCATCTATCATTTTTCCATTTTGAGTGAGCAGTAGACCGAGTGAGGTGAGATCAAATGGAAAATCAATTGAAAAAAATATAAAAAATAATCTCATTATTTCTTCATTTTCGAAATTCCAAAGTTTTTCTTAAATATACTTAACTAATAAAATGCTTATTAAATACAGTATAATCGAAACTTTATAATTATAATCTGAAAGTTTTCAGGAGTATTTTCTTACTTAAATATAAATATTCCTATCAAATTTACTTAATTATTCGATATTCAATGAATATTTTATGCTAATTAGCTATAGTAATAACGAATTTATTAGGCATTAATGTTTAATTAATAGTCTACATTTTCTTAACTTTTTTCATTTATTTCTATAATTATAACTTATATTTTCTTTACGAAAATACCATTTTACGTCTTAAAAATGTATATTTTTAAGTGTTTTAAATGAATAATTATAATGAAATATAATATAATTAATTAATTATATTCAGGGTGACCAAAAACTCAGTTAACCAGTGAATTGTCGCCTAATTCAAATGCAAAAATTGCTATAGTTGTTTAAAATGAGATCCTTCTTATTCAACATTCGAATTATAAATTAAGTAGTTAACTGATTTTTGGGCCTCCTCTGCATCGCGCTAGTAAACAAATTAAAATTAACTTCGAAATATTATTATTATTATTAAACAATTAAGAAAAACCTTGCTTATTTTCTTCATAAAAACTTCAAATTTATTCACAGAAATGTTTAAATTTTGCTTTACTCCAAAAGAAAAAAACACCCAGAAAATCCAAAAGAATTAAATATTTTTACTTTATTAATTATTTTTGTACATAATAAACTTAAAAATCTCATTAAAAATAATTGCTTTCTGTTGAAATTCGCATTATCTTAATTGCTATTGGATATCATCCTTTGCAATTGCACGAAATATCAATATAAGACGAATCAGATGTTTTAAGAGTAACGTTATCTATAGAAGAAATAAAGTACAAGTCATTTTACACAATGGATTTTATTCTTCTTGGAAAATATATATATATATATATCATGCAATAGCAATATCTTGATCTGCATTAGTTACGACGTAACAGGTCACGAAATAGATCAACAATCATGTCAAGAAGGGATGGACTCTCTATTAGGGTGGTACAACGTCATCCCACGCGCCTCCCTCGTCAAAGCTTAACGGATTCTGTTTAGTCTTGAAGATTCTTCGAGTTAAAAACTCCTCTCGTGTCCCCCACAACGTTGATAGAAAAGCCCATTCTGTCCCACCAACTGAGGTCATGTTACACAATCTTAGAAAAGATCCTCGCCGTTTCACAGCCGTCTTATCTAATTCCCTAAACATTTTCGAAAATTGTTTAGAGAAATTCAAATTTTACAATTTGCTTGACGAATTTCTTCTCCAATTTAAACAGTGTTTACGCGAAATTATCCGGAAGAATAATCTGTAAAGTTTGATGACGTTGGCTACAATTTTTCCGAATTTTTTTTCCTCTCTTCTTGTGGTAAAGAGGAAAAATTGCTTTAATAAATAAAGAATTAACTTGGGAATTTTTTTTCTTCGTTTTTTCCCCTCTTCAGTTAGACACCAGCGGGGAATCTTTTTTACTGTCTGCCAAATGCCAAAAAGAATATTCCGACTCTTCTAAAAATAAGTAGGGACGTATCTCGAGAGGAACAAACCCTCTTTCTTCTTCGTTTAACTTTAACATCCGTTGAAAGAAAACTAATAAGAATTTGAAAATAGAAACTGTTTTATCTGAATTCCTATTTGAAAAGTACGAGTGTGGAGTCTATTGTGGAAAAATCCATCAGGATTGTTGGTGAATTCGCTTGTTTCTTTAAACAGAAACAAAATAAACGAACAGTTAAAAATCCGTTTCCATTCTTTCTTCTCCAATAAATGAAAATGTAAGTGAAAATTTATTAGGCTGTTTACTTCCAAATTTTTATTTAAAAAATAAATAAAAAGGAGACAGAAATATGCAGCTGAAATACAGAGCTTCGTTTCCGTCCGTGATCATTTCCTGGAACTGATTGGTCACGAGATATGACGTCACTTACAGCTGCCCCAAGTTGTACTGTAACGACTATTGTGATGTAAAATAAAAATACACTACAAAAATTATACGTATATACGTTAATTTCTTATTAAAAGTGTAAGCATTAGCGCGAAGTTCAGGGGCATTTTCTCACACTATAACAACAATACACAAAAAAATTCGATTATGTAAAATTTTATTAAATTAACTCAAAAATGATGGATTTAATTCATTTTATAATTAACTTTTATATTATATTTATATGTCAATTTAATTGCGAATTAAGAAAGCAATGGGTTTATATAGATTTATTCCAGGTGGATATTATACTGTTAATGTGTTGCGTCAGTGCTGCGATACATAGTTTATGCAAGAAAGCACCTGATGTCTTCATCAGAAACTCGTAAGAAAAATGATGTTTTGTCCAATAGCCTGGAAGGAACTTAGCAGGTGTTTGAAAATAAGAAAATTATCATTATTTTCCAGAGGTCAAATTGGAATCCCTAATGCAATCAACCTTTGCTGAATGATAAGCGGGAAACCATTATTTACGAAATAGTTAAACAAACAGTTACACTTAAATTAACATTGTTTTTTTATATTGTTTAAGACGAATTTTCATGCTGTTTTTTATCTGTTGAAAAGCTTTTGTTTATCGCACGTAGGATGGGAGTGGAGGCTGAAGATCAAGATGTCTCTTCTCAACCGGAGGAAGAAACTCGAGAAAGTAAAAGTCCAGATAAAGAACAGATACTTAGCGAAGAATTGGAGAAACAAGAATCGACGAAGGACGAAGTGGACGGTGAGAAATTTCAAGATTCAGTCACAGAAGACAAGGAGGAGGAACCCGAAGAAGAAGAGACTGAAAACTGCACCCAAAAAAGTCCTAAATTAAAATTATGGAATAGGTAAGATTTAACGTGCATAAAAATCATAATTTAACGTATTTCCCACCCCCGTTTTACGCGCAAGTTTAATTTTTGTGTCGAAAATTGTTTCCGATTACGCTCGACAGATGGCGCGATATTGATGTTTTAAAATTCATATATTCGCCATTATTTAGCAGACACGTTATTTTTTGAAAGTAATAGCAATTTAATTTGCATGTCATGCAAGTACTTGTAAAAATGTTTTATTGTCGAAATAATAATTTATGAATATGTAGAATATATAAATAGCTAAATGATTAATGAAGCATATATTATAGAAAAACAATTCTCCATCCCGCATCCGACCTTACTACCTTTTAAGTAGGATGCCGGAGCATCGAAATAAGTCAATTAAACTGCGATCAATTCATTGAAAAATTAATTCTAATTAAGTTGATTTTAATTATTTTCTTCTTTAAATTTAAAAACTTCATAAATTGCGATTTATAGAGAAACTAATTCTAATTAAGATAATTTTAATTATTTCATCTTTTAATTTCTGTTAAAAGATGAAATTTCTTTTATTCAATTAAAAACTGTTTTTAATAAGTTTAGGCATAATTTAGTTCTATAAGTTTGTAAATATTTATAATTAAATTCTTAAAATAATTTACTTAAAATTTTTTNTAATATCAAATTTAATATTAAAAGTATTTATTATAAGGTATTATTAAAATTATTATTAAAAGTATTATTAAAATTAACCTTATAATTTTAAGAATCTTATTAAATGATTACAATTTAGTAAATGATGATAAAATTTAGGCCTAAATGTCATTAAATTTACCTTGAAAATAAATGCTTTTAAATTGATCATATTATACAATAAATCCTTATAGAAATGTTATATTAAATTATAGAAGAAATTATTAATTATAATATTAAAATTGGTATCATAATATACAGTAAAACCTGTTCAAAACGGAACCCGAATAAGAGGAAACCTTCCGATTTTCTGTGTTTAAACAAACTTGTTCAAAAAGAAAATCTGCTAAACCGGAAAAAATATTCGGTTTTCAAGTCCGGCTTACACAGGTCTTACTGTATAATATAATATTGAAATTATTAAATTACTTATGAACTATTGTATAAGAAATATTATATTATAAAAGAAATTTTATAGAAGACGTTTTATACACTGAAATATTATTATAGAAATGTAGAAAATTATAGAATAAATTCTGATTATTCTCAGAATAAATTTAGAGTTTAGAGTAGAGCGGAGAACCTTTTGTTAATGGTAAGGCCCATATCTCATTGAAGAATGATCTCATAAGGGTATACTTTCAACATAAATACACCAAAAATATATACAGTAAAACCTGTCCAAAGCGGAAACCTGCCTAAACGAGAATAATTCTTCGGAATGGAGTGACTTTTTATATTAAAATAAACCCTGCTCAAAACGTAAACCTGCCAAACCTGAAAAAATATACGTTACTGTGCGATTCCGGTTTACACAGGTTTTAAGGTGTATGTTTATATTTAGATAGGAATTTTTTTTAATTGGAAAAAGAAAATGAAACATATTTTTGTAACTCAAAATTTCTGATATTACGTTAAATTAAACTTGTAACCATTTTATACAATAAAACCTGTATAAGCCGGAATCACGAGGTATCGCATATCTTTTCCGGTTTAGCAGTGTTTCGTTTTAAACAGGTTTTTTTAAACACAAAATCGCTCCGTCCCGAAAAATTGTTCCGTTTAGGCAGGTTTCCGTTTTATTTCGGTTTCTTTTTGAACAGGTTTTACTGTATTATTATAAAACGCACTAGAAGCTACGAAATTAGTGAATCGTCATGAAATTAGAAAAATGAAGTAATTTATTATCGATTATTTCCTGATATTTGATTAATTGCAATTATTCATATTGTAAGAACCGTGATTGTGAATACAATTCAATTTCATACACGGTCAAACCTCTGAACAACTGCCGCTAAAATGGAAACATAAAAATGGCCGTTGTTTGGAGGTTATTTCTGTGCATTTCACAAAAACGTTCCCGAAAACGTGGCCGCTGTTTACAGGTGATCGTTATTGGAGGTTTGACTGATATTTTGATAAATTAAATAAATATTTGTAAACTTTCAAGTGTATGCAATTCTTTAAGAAAACTTGGTAATAAATTTGAATTTATTACAGTATTTACCATCCAATAAATCCTAAATTAAGAGTAATCTCACGACTTTCAGAGGACGTTGAAACGGGGTTACGATCTATCAAGTACAGTACACTGAGATAAAAATTTCAAACAATGTCTAGATAAACAAGATACAGTAAAACCTGTACAAACCGGAATCGCACGCTACTAATTTTTTCCGGTTTGGCAAGGTTTCCATTTTAAACAGGTTCTTTTTTATCACTCGGCCGTTTACATAGGTTTTCGTTTTGAACAGTTTTTTTTATAACCCAAAAAATCTCTCGATTCTGAAAAATTTTTTCCGTTTTAGGCAGGTTTCCTTTTCGTTCGAGTTCTGTTTACGGCAGATTTTACATATATATACTATACATATAACCATTTCATTAATGTTAATTGCTATCGGCCTAATTATTAATTGAATTTTAAATATTTTCTGCAAATTGTAATAAGAATGAATGCAATTTAAAACGGAGGATATTTGAAGAATGTTTTTACCTCATCAGTTATGATTCTATTGCGTAAACCTTTCCGATTTCACTAGGAAACATACTTGTGTTTATGAGGATCTCTCACGAGATCAATTGTCGTTGGTGTAGTTGATCCCGTGACAATCCTTCATCAATATGGACATATTCTCCTCGTAGGCCTCTACATATATCGTGTGATAAATAGATAAATATTATACTAAGCTGTTAATCGTTTCAAAATCAAAATTTCAAAGAAAAAACGCTACTAAATTACTACAATCTATTTAAATTTACTGTATTGTTTATTGAAGATTAATGATATCAAGCTAATTGCCATGGATATTTGCTTCAGCATTAACTACATACAATAAAACCTTCGTAAAGCGGAATATCATGGTACCGAATATTCTTTCCCAGTGGCGTACCGTAGTGGGGGCGGCAAAATTTTACAATAAATAACAATAATATCTTGTAAAAATTTGAAACATCCTAATCTATACTTGCATCGCGCCTACGATAGTGCTATCGTCCGAACAGTCCAGGAATCGGCTCGCCAGGTGAACTAGTAACTTTTTCATCCGAGGAGTTCCTGTAAAACCTGTTAACTTTTTTTTTTGCTTGTACGATTCATTCGCGTTCATATACACCACTAATATCCAATAGAACTATTTTAAACAGGTCGCTGCACTACCACCGAATTTTTCATTGCTTGTTCTGTGACAAAACTGAATTTTGGTCTTTTAAATTGAAATACCTAAATAAGGGGGCCGAAATTTTCCTCCGCCCCGGACGGCTGACACCCACGGTACGCCACTGTTCTTTCCTGTTTGGCAGGTTTCCGTTTTGAACGGTTTTTTCTTAAACAGAAAATCGCTCCGTTCCGAAGAATTTTTCCCGTTTAGGCAGGTTTCCGTCTTGGACAGGTTTTACTGTAATGCAATTATGGTTGCTAACAACAATCTAATTCTGTTTTATCATCATCGGTTATATTGAAATAATTTAATGTAAAATGTAGCCTGGGCGGATTTGGACATAAATTAAAAAAGTTGCAGCTAAGACCTCATGTTTTTATATGTATCAATATTTAGTGGAGAATAAGGGTTTGTTATGTTATAATTTAGGGTCACAAGTTTAAGTTCAACCCTATATAGCTAGGCTATAGATAAGGTTTTGCTTCATGTAACTCAATGATATTATTATTTTTGAAAAATATTATTATAATTAATTAATTTTTAAAATTTGTTCATAATTTTTAATAGCTTCCAACTAGTAACTAGACAAGCCAAATGCTAAAGTATTATTGTTATAAAGCTTATCATCCGTTAATACTATTTTTATAATGATTTTATCCTTTAAAATTTATAATTTCCATTATAATATAGATCTTTATATACAGTTAGATTTACAATTAGATTGATTCTATCCATTCACATCTTATTTTGCCTCAAGCAGTTTTGTTTGATTTCAATGCCTATTATTTGTACAAGTTTTTAAAAAATTATTTTTATGATAACATTGTATTGTATATAAATTTAAAACAGTTAAAACAATGGATAGATAATATTTAAACAAATAATTTTAATATAAAATAAAGCTTTATATGAAAACTGCAATTGTTTGACCTGTAGAAAATTATATTATTTATCAAATTCTTCCTTTTATTTATGCATAAACTGTATTTTCATAATAAAAAATATTAGTGATATTTATTATGAAACATTATAAAATTTCTGTAAAAACAAACTACAGATCAATAAAATCAGAAAGAGTCACTCTGCACTAAAATCTCTCCTGGATGTGGTTAGAACATTTGTTCTCATGTTACTACAGTTTCAAGTAACATAATAAAAGTTACCTTACAAATAATTATATATATATATGTTACTTTACATTAGTAGTAGTTAATATGAGCATTTATGTTACTTTATTATTAAGAAAACATATATATGTATATGTTTTCTTAATAATAAAGTAACATAATTGTTCATATTAGCTACTACTAATATACGTTTAATGTGCTAATTCTTAATAGTTTAAAAAAAAATTAATTAATATAGCAAATTTTAAAACATTATATTGCATGCTTTAAATGCTATTTTAAACTACAAAGTTTGTTTAGAATTCAGAAATTAATTGTCTAAAGAATTATAGAATCTGAAATATTTCAGTGAAGTGATAATATTGAATTATTTTAGTATTTTAATTTATATAATGTTTCTGTAAGGACATCTGTCAATAAAAATAATTCAAAATGATCCAAAAAAACTAAAAAAATTGGCTTAATTTTGATAAGTGAGAGATATTTCTTTAAAAAGAATTGATAGCAAATCATTTAAAGGGCTCCAGAGTTTAATTCATAGTAATTCTAG